GGCCAACTTGTGAATAATGCAAATGAATCATTGGTAATCAATGAACCATGTTTACAGAATGGTTTTGTTCAAAATTTAACTTACGATGATATATTTAGTACACCTTGTGCTCGAAATCAATATGCACCATTACCAAGTATTAATAAATCATCAATATTCTCATTCATGTAAGAGATATCTTGTCAAACATTTTTAAAAATCTTTAATTACTTTTACTTTTAGAGGATCCGGTGATTCTTCACTATGTTCTGATCTTGTACGAGAACGTTTAAATCAATCAATTTGTACATTAACAACTTGTAGTTTTGATAATGTCTATCAACCAGTACCAATTTCACCATCAACTAAATTTATTGCTATTTCAGCATGGTATACAACATTCAATAATTTAGCTCCAAATATTAGTTTATTACCTAATACAGATGGAAATTATGATTTTAATTCTGTTAATTTTAATCAAATTCAAACAGCTATTGCTGCAATATGTCGTCAACCATGGTCAGATTTACCTCAACCAGATAAATATCGACCATGTAAGATGAAATAATTCATTAATTTATTTCCTATTAGTCTAAAATTCTTTTTTTTTGTATATAGTTTTATGTTTTAATTCAATGTATCATTGGACATTACTTCAACATGGTTATTCAATGAGAGATGAAAATCTAAAAAATTTTCATATTGTTAAATCAATTAATTCTAATGAAATTGGTTGGACATTAGGTTATATGATAAATCAAACAAATTCTATAGATCCTGAATTTCGACCGAAACGTTTAATAACTAAAGATGAATTTGGTGGTTTATTATTTTTATGTTCGTTCTTGCTGATTGTTAGTGCAATTATAACTATTATAGCAATGATGCGGTATAAAAGACGTCGAGATTATTAAATAAAATGAATAGGTTTTTTTTTGACATTAATGAAACTAGTGATTTATTTTTTTATAATTGATAAAAATATTTGTTTTTTTTTTTATTTATAATGTTTAGGAGATGATTTAATGTATTCAATAAATGTCATATGAACTCGAGAAGATTTTTCATTTTTATTATGATTAGATATTTCATAGTATCGATAATGATCAATAATCATCTTAGATAATAAATATCCAATGAATAATAACATAGGTTGATTTTTATTTAAACAATCTTTAATAAATTTTTGTTCAAGCCATGAATGATAATCATCCCAATTATTTTCTTGACTAAAAACATTCCAAAGATATTTTAATGCACTAGATTAATAAGACAAAAACTTTTAGGAGTTTTTTTTGTTTTCTTCCTAAAATAATTCATTTACGTATAAAATTTTGGTTTTTGTATACGAAATTTGCGCCATGTTTCACGTAATCGAAAAATAGATGGATGATCAAAAGTAGCTAAGATAATACGAATACTATGGATATCATGATTTTTAATATATAGTTGTTGAACAACCTATTATAATTGATAGAAATCAATGAAATTTTGATTCAATTGAAAGGAAAAAATATTTGATTATAGAATTTGAAAGAAATTTCTCCGATTTTCTTAATGCATTACATTAAATGATTAGCTATTTTCTGATTGACTGCAGCACACCGATAGTTGTTCTCTAAGCGGCAAATATGTCGCCGCTTATTATAAATACTCCGCTATAACGATGGTAGTGCGAATAAACGTATAACATGAACTTCGCTGTGATTCAAACAAGATAAAAGTCGCCGGTATACCGACAATCAACTGATGTTAGTTTGATATTTAAACGATCGGCTATCTGCTAACTGCCATTGTACACTGCGGTATTCCCGACAGTTGTTCTCTGGCTGGCGGACTATTGCCGGTATACCGACGGTAGTGCAAAAAAGTGTACGACATGAACCAAATCAATCGTTATGGATCATCGTAATCTACCATAAATGGCCGTTTTTGTGTCGTTATAACACGTATACAACTCCGTATTCTTTTATATATACGACGATATTACTGATCCTGCATCTATAGAGAAATATGATCACGTTAGCTTGTCGTATGCGACCGTAAACGGTCGTGTAAGGATCTTATTTTTCAGCCAAGATGGTTACCAACAAGCTTTTATAAATATACTCGTCATTGAAACATTATTCCGTTGATACAGCAAGAATCATTCTTCAATCTAAGTAAAACAGAAAAAGCTCAATAACATTCATCAGTCTTTGAAGTAACTGCCAACCCTAGACAAACAATAAGGTCGTATGCAACCGTTTAAGTTAGGGGTGTCAGGGTTTCTCGTTCCCTAGCGTTCCGTTCCTAAGGAATGGAACCCACTCGAAGATTCGTTTCCACATGTTTTTGAGTATATTGAGATTTATGGACGTGCTTACTCTTTGAATCTGTATCAAGTTAGTATGGGTTCCCGGGAACGGAACCAGAAACTGACATTCCTAGTTTAAGTACCATATTTTATTATAAGCCATACCAGTTTTTTATGACTGTTTTTAATGAGAATAATGCACACACCCGATTGTGTACGGCGAAAATACAGTGATATACATGGTACCACATCTCACCATAAACGGCAAAAAATACGGATAATCGTTAGCATCCTCTCTAGAGTATACTTGTTATTTTTTATTGGTTACAATTTTGTCTCATCAATTCACGATTGACTAAAATTATACTAATTTTCCAATCAAAATCAATTTCACTATTCTCTATTGTTTATATGTGCTTAAAAATGTACTGAAGGAGAAGTTACATAAATTAAAAGACGTTTATCTAACTAATTGGAATCTTTTTGTTGTTATGATAGAGAATTTAAGAGTTTATATTTTCGATATTTTTATATCTATCAACCAATTTTTTTAATCTATCGTTGCTAGTAAATATAATTCTACTTCCTGATAAATATCAACTATATGAAGTTCATCAAATTTACCATTCATATATTTTAAAAATATCAATGGAATTTTGATTTTAGTTTTTACAAATAAATTTCAATCTTATCGTACATACCGAAAATAAATGAATAATAACAGATGCTCTCAATTTATCTGTCTTTTGTCTTAAAATTTGTGTAGCAAATAAAGCTACTGTTTTATCATAAAATTCGAGCATTGATGTTATATTTGGTGCTAAAATTTTCTATTAAAAAAAAATATCGAATGATTATATTATTTAGAAAATTTAATTTAACCTTTTCAGTAGATAGAAATGCAAAATTAAATAATTCTTCTGGTTTAATATTTAATAAAAAATTTTGATTAATTAATGTAAGTTCATCGGCAATATCTATTGCTGGATATTTTCGTATGTCATGTACATCAAATTTAATATCAATTTTTATTGGATATAGTGAACGTCGAAGTTGTTTAGATTTTATAGAAATCATTTATTATTATAAAAGAAAATTTCATATTCAATATTAATATTATTTATTTGATTTCATTGAAAATATTCATATTAATACGAATAAGAAAAAAAAATTTAAATGATTAGCGCTGAAAAAATAATCTAGTATGAATATCAAACTGTCGCTCGTATTATCGATGGCAAGAATTGACACATGATTAGTGATCGAATACACTGGCTTCATTAAATTAGATAAGGAAGAGCAAAATACTGATATTTTTAGGTAAAAAATTGTTTTGTATATCAAATCAGTTATATGTATGTATAACGAATACAGGAGTATGGGCATTATTGTGGACGACAGTAAGACTCACGCGCACACTTGGCGTTATCGTACTATCGTTTGAGCTTCATAGAGTGCTTTGAGCGTATATTTAAAATTTGATAGTCGTCATTTAAGAAATTCTTACTCGTGTATGATTACCATCTAGTGCCTTTAGAAATGATAAAATTATTCTATTGTATGGCATTATTTTCAAATTTTCATGAGATTAATCAACATTGACTAAGCTTGGTATATTTGTTCTTTCTCATTTGGTGCTCAAAGTTGTTATCATGTTTCAAATTTCTCTTCTTATGTCACTGTTATCGACTAATTCGAATTGTTGATTTTATATATTTGACTAATATTCGCGCCAGAATTAAACAGGAGTAAGTGTAATCTCAATAACTCCACGGCGGTAAAAGTTAGCGACCTCCGGTTTTCAGTAATTGAAAGGAGAGAGAGAACTTCGGACATCTTATCAGACGAAAAGACGTCCGAAACTCTCTCTTTTCGATTACTGAAAATTGTAGGTCACTAGCTGTTGTTATTGTGTCGAGTTGTTGAGCTTACAATCATTCCTCTTTAATTAATGCTGATTGTCAGACTGAATTCACATTAATACTCAATCAGTGTAGTTTTGATATTGAAGCTGACAGGTGTGTTTTTAGTTAATTTTTCTACATTGTGATATATGTAATTTATCAATGAAAAATGCTCCGTAGAGTTAAATATCTGTTTTATTTAATTTTGTATAGATAAGTATTTATGATGTCGGATACCAATACAACTATACATAAGATAATAAAATGGATTAAAGAACTTTTCAATTTTCGATTGATTATTGTTGTCTAATCTTTCATTAAAGATTTTAAATAGTAAACAAGTTTTTGTATTTAATCATGCACAATACCATTCTATAGTTTGTCAATCTTTTTCTTTTCTCATTAAATAAATTTCATCTATTTGATGTCGAAGTTCACTAATAAAACTGAGTTTTTCATCTTCGATCAATATTCCATTAATAAGAGCATCCATTATCGATGAAAGTTTTGGGTGTGGGTGTAGAATAAGAGATGAGCTACACCCACACTCCACACCCCACACCCCACACCCACACTCCATACCCACACCCTGAATATGTGTATCGTTTCAACCGCGTTTATATGTGGTTCAAAGCATTTCTTTAGCACGTCTGTACACTTTTTTACATCCTGAATGCGTTTGGTTCTTGCGTTTCAGATGCGACTATATTCCGTATTATTTTCACATAGAATGTGTAGTAAACGCATCTAGGCGCTTTTTTATTTCAAAATACATGTTGATGTAAAAAAAAATGTACTGAAAGCACGATTTTAAAAAGCCAATCAGTTCTAATTTTAAAAAAAATTCATTAACCGGCTGGACAATGATTTTTAGTGTGGAATACATGTGGCGTGGTTAAAACCAACTAATCGGATATGTCTGATTTTGGGATGTGGATGTGGGTGTGGCTGAGTGTGGTTATAGATGTGGGTGTGAGTGTAGTTCCAGACAACCAGAACACCCACACCCTCCTACTAGTAATCCGAATTTTATCGAATTTGGAGAACTTTTTGAAAACCGATGGTATCCTTTATTCATATATCAGATAGTAAATGTCAGTCAGTAAGTGATGATCGATGTTTATGCGGTTCGTTTCATTATGGCAGAAATTACTCACTTAACTGCATTTATTATTAAAGTTTATAAGTGAACAGAAACTTTATATTGAAAATACTAGCCTTGTAGAATCCGCAATAGTGATGAACATTAACTTACAGGCTATATTACAGGAACAGTCATTTGATGAATAATCGTGTAAACTTACAAAACAATGGCCAAAAAAACGGCGAGTATTGTATTGTAGTTTTACAATCAGCATATTTGTTTCTATCCACCTTTCGACGACATTCACTTGCCTCTGTTTTCTCAGTCAACAAATAATTCGACAGAAAGAAAAAAGAAAAGTGTCTTTTTTTTCATTTTCAATCTCACATCTTTACGCACTTGTCGAACAAAACACTCGGCACATGTCTCTCTATGATCAAAAAAGAATGAGACCACTGGAAGAATTTATTCTCATATGGCTAGGAAATACAGAAGATAATAATAATAATATTATTGCTCAGCTGCGTCATTATGTGAATGATATTCGAACATTCATGCACACTGATGAATGCATAGACTTTATCAGTGAATTTACTTTTGATCAAAAAATCATCCTTATTGTCAGTATTGATGATGTTATGAGCTACGATATAATTATATTGACTGCCCAAGCGTTTCCTCAAGTATTCATCATTTACGTTTTATGCAATGAAAATACAGTGCAGGAAGAACTTAAAAAAATTATACATAATCATCAAACAAAGGTTCAAGGTCCATTTACCGAAATCGAATCCCTGAAAAATCATCTTGGTCGTGTTACTGCACATAACTTAAGTAATAAACTGATCAGTTTTCAGACTATGAATACGGCTCTAACAGAAGCAACAACATTGGACAAATTAAATAAACAAGATGCATCCTTTATGTATGCCCAGATAGTAAAAGACATATTGATGGAATTTGAATTGACATCGGTATCAAAAAATGACATGATCCAATTTTGCCGTAAATTGTACAATGATAATCCCTTTGAATTGACATTCATTGATGAACTTGAGTACAATCCTCGAAATCAATCCGCACTCTCATTCTATACAGCCGAGCGTTTTCTCTATCGAATGCTTAACAGGGCTTTACGATTACAAGAAATAGATAAACTTTATCATTTACGCTACTTCATTAGACAATTACACGAAGAACTCAAACATTTACATAGAGAAAAAATTCAACAAGGGAAATCGGTTGTATGTCTCTATCGTGGTCAAGGAATGCAACGAGAAGAATTAGACAAATTACGAGACAGTGTAGGCGGCTTATTGTCATTTAATGTATTTTTATCAACAAGTGCAGATCGTGCCGTCGCCCATATGTATGCAGAAACAATGCTATCAGCTACGGATACATTAGCCGTTTTCATGCAAATAGATGTGCAAGCAATAAGTTTAGAAAACAACGTATTTGCTGATATTGGCCATTTGACTCGATTTCCTGAAGAAGAAGAGCATCTTTTCTCAATGGGAAGCGTTTTTCGAATTCTATCTGTAGAATCAGCGATAGACGGAATCTATTATGTCAAACTTGCGTTGACAAGCGATCAAGATGAACAGCTTGCTCATTTAAAATGGTTTATGAGTACTACTCTAAATCTGACGCATCGTCGTGGTCCACTTTTTCGACTTGCCGGTCTAATGCAAGAAATGAGTCAACATTTTTACGCTGAATACTTTTATACCATCTTGTTAAAAGATGAAACAATTCAGGATCAACCAAGCGCACTAGCTAGTATTTATGGTAATTTGGGTTATTTGTGCAAGGAAAAAGGCAATCTACATGAAGCTCTCAATCATTATGAACTTGCGCTTAAACTATATGAAAAAGACTCACCTCACGACAATGATCAAACAATTGCAACTCTCCTTTCTAATATTGGAGGAATCTATACAGCTCAAGGCTTGTTCGATCGTGCTGTAACAAACCTAGAACGTGCTTTAATGATTGATATCCATCCTGCCAACGGTAGAATACCTAATCCTCAATACATTTCCACTCGCTATAATGAACTAGGTGTTATCTGTGAACGTATGGGACGATATGCGAACGCTCTTAATTATTACAAACAATGTTTACAAATACGTCTGGCGAATATACCTTCAAATCATCCTGATTTACTTGCACCATATAATAATATTGCATTACTCTATGATAAACTTGGCCAATCGGAACAAGCAATTGATATTTATATGCGTATTCTTGAGATTAGCACTAACTCATTACCACCGAATCATCTCACATTTGCTACTCTATATCATAATATAGCTTGCAATCTTGAGGATATTGGTCAATTAAATGAAGCACTCATCTATGCTCAAAAAGCGTTCGATATAGTCGAAAAATCATCGTTGTCATCGACTCATGAGATCGTTCTTGGCAATCGTCATCATTTGGAACGTCTTCAGCGTATTGTTTCTAACTCTAGCCCAAAAAACTAAAAATTTTGCGTATCTTTCGATAATTTTGACATGTGTAGAAGTATTCTTAACATTTCCTCTATCAATCTCTTTACTACGTTCTTTTACGCACTTTTTCAAAAACTTTTGATTCGTTAGATTGCACAAATTGGACAGACAGAGAAAAGAAATTTATCATTTATATTGTTTGTTCTACAAATCGACGCAGATGAAAGAACAACCTACGTTCATCAGTATGATATCGGTTTCTTTACCAAATCTAAAGCTAAATAGGTTTTATCAAATTGGATTCACCCAAATTGAGCCATCCGGCACGGAACCGGTCGGAAAATACCGGGAAGGTGAAAGGAGTATTTTCGACGGGAATTTCCCGAATTTTTTCCGAGGGATTCCGACAAGTTTCTGTGCTTAGCGGCAGGAATCAGTAGAAACCGTCCGAAAATCATCAGTAAAATAAATCCGAAAAATTCCTGGCAGGAACACTGCTTCTCGGTTCCAACTATTTCCCGTGTGTTCCTGCAGGATACGATGACATTTCGTACATTTTCCTATCGCTTCCTGCAGTATCCATTTTCCGGAATCAGGGTGTGGGAGTGGGTATTGTTTCTTTCCACCCACACCCACACCCTCATCTTTAATCATCCATGAGTTGAAATCTTCTATCAATGAAGTCAAATGTTTTGCAATCGAACTTTACAATCAATCGACTTGATGATGTATGTCAACTATGTATCATAAACAAATATAACTGCTTTCTTCATTATGTTGAAAACATTGATTAATGGAAAAATGTTGATCGATAATTTTTCTTCCCTTTTAAATTGACAGACAAAAAGAAAAAAAAGCTAATTATAGAGAATCAGTATATATACCATATGATACTTTATTCTAATATTTTTTTTTCTATTGTTTATGATTGTAAGTGTTTGAAAAAGACCAGGCTAAAACACAAAAATTATTTATGTTGTGAAAAGTATCATAAAACTTGAATTATAGGATTGATGAAGAATGTTTATTGCACTCTGAAATTTCAGGTTAACATTCCTGCTCAAGATACTAAAAAAATTCGACACTAAGACAAAAACTGTAAAATAATGTTTTCAAGCTCTTTTATTCGACAGGTGGCGACCAGTGATTTCTTTTTTTTTCTTTCTACTATGACTTGTTCTTTTATTCTGACTAAAATGTCCTACTGTATCGAACATCAGCATCGATATTTTTTGAAATTAACGTTTTACAATACAATCGATTAACAAAAAAAAATGAAGAATTAATTGCCATAATTCGTTATCTCTCTAGAGTCATCCTTCGGTGCAGATGGGTGTCGGATCTGAAACTCCACCTATTCACGTCGACACTCACATCATACGCATCATGTCTGTTTCTCTACTATATATGTAATTGCACAATCTCAAAAGAAATTCAACATAAATCGATGAAATCAAATAAACTATATTGTGGTCCGAAGACACATGGTTATCATGAATTACTTCACTCCAAACCTCCGTGTGTCATCTCATGACTACATTTTTTTTCTCATACATTCTTCGTGTTTATTGTCTTGTCCATTGAATTTCTGTTATAACATCAACTAAATTTTTGTCTTTCTTTTTCTTAACTTCAAACAATTGAAGGACGCCAATTCTCATATGATTGTTTTTGTTTGGGGTGTGGGTGTGGGTGGGTGTGGGTGTGGGTGTGGGTGTGGGTGTGGGTGGGGGTGGGTGTGGATGTGGGTGTGAGGTGTGGGTGGGTGTGGGTGGGTGTGGGGGGCGGGTGGCTGGGCGTGGGATGTGGGTGGGTGTAAGTGTGGGTGTGGGTGTGGATGTAATTGTAGTATTCTCCCACACCCACACCCGCACCTACCCCACCCACTCCACCCACACCCACACACCCACACCCACCCACGCCCACCCACACCCACACCCCACACCCAGCCACCCGCCACCCACACCCACCCACACCCACACCCACACCCACACCACACCCACACCCACCCTCAATCACAGACGTGTTTGGCAAACTAATATTTCTATCTCGAAAAATTGCATCAAGCAAATACTCAACGACAAACTACATAGAGTGATGTTGTAAAAAACTCGTCGAAGAAGTTCCCGTTAGATATGTGTCATATATTTTGTTTTTTACTTTGGTCGCATTCATATTTATTTAATTTTTACTACTATCGAATTAAAATTGCAGAGATGCCGTAATATCTTTTCAGTGATGGTATGATCAAAAATGAAATAAAGGCAACCAAAGTGACGAATACGTTTATTACCTTACTGTTGTTAAAGACCTTTGGTTATGCTAGGTTTAAGTCAAATCAGAATGATGTTTTTAAAATTTATGTGAAAGAGACTCTTTGATTTTGACGATTCTGTCGATGTTGTACTGCTCGATTTGACTCAATGACGTAGAACAAGATGAGAAGGTCATTGCAAGTGACAGAAGCAAACATCTAGTGAGAAGAAGGATAATTTAAAGAAAATTCTTAGAAATTGGTCTGTCAGACTTTAGTGAATTCTGAAGATTTTCTGTAAATTTCAGTATATTATTTTTGATTGATTCTGTTTACTTCGTAATAATTCGTTGTAATTTTAGAGACTTCCTTTTCCGGAAATCTAAATATAGCTTAACTGATAGAAAAAAATGTGTCCTTTTTTTGTCTCAAAAGAAACAAAAACAAATGGATTATTTCAGCAACCAGACTGATATGCTTCATCTAGGATGTAGGTATGGTTTATAATTTAAAAGAGTAACCCTACTCATTCCCAGTCAGTTTTACACCAAACTTTCGCGTAATAGAATAAAGTATGTCTGACTTATTCATTGGATGAGAAGGACTTTTAATTTCAGTCAATGAGCTGTTCAAGCAAGAATCCAATATCAAGGACAACATTAAGTAAATAACGGAATAAACACGAGAAAAATTATTCTGGACTCTTGTATAGTCAATATCCATGACTAAAATACAGAATATTTATTTCTTCCTGATTTTCCATGATCGATCAAGAGAAAAGATCGTTGGCTGGCAGATACAATAGAAATAATCCGCAGTCACATTTTTTCCGTGATTTTCTAGGTTTCTTTGTGATGCTTCCGGGTGCTTGTTGATATATTGTTGTCTGCTGTTGTTATATAGTTTTTTTCTCTATTCTTTGTGCATGATGTTTTAACTTCTTTTATTACGTTTTGTCTTCTCCTTTCTTTCCTCATCACTATATATTTGTGACTGGTTTATCACTTGAGTATTCTCTGTTTATGTTTTAGATAATATCCAAGAGAGAAATAACTGAGACTTCTGTTGTGAAGTCCCATGAAGTCTTGAAGTCAGTTGTTTTTTTCTTGATATAAAAGAGCCATTAGATGATTTGACTAAAATCACTGGACACTATCGTTAGTATATTACTGTATTTCTTCTTCATTGAAAGCGAGACGAGATTGGTTTTCATCAAGATATATGAGTCCTATTTATCATCACGAACAGAACAATATTTATCTATATTCCGTGACTTAGTCTTTAAAAAAATATTAATGTCAAAACAGGAGTAATAAATTTTTCTTCTCATCATTCCACATGTATTTGCAAAAGAAGAAAAAAAAAACAAGGACTGTAATACTTTGAACTATGACTTCAAGTATCATATTTGAAAGATATTCAGGCATGTTTGCCATGGTATATTGTTACCAGCAGTAGAAGGAAAAAAACAACAGAGGACATTTTAAAAACATTGAATGATGGAGACAGACGACCTGTTCTTTGATAAGAATTATACTACTGTAACTCCTGTTTCTTTAGGGAATAGTAAGTTTTCCGTTGATATTTACTATTATCGATATTTTAAATTACGTATGTGTTCTAGATTGCTCGGTATATAATCCATGTGGACGATACGGTCGTTGTTATAATAATCTCAATGGTGAAAGGACATGTGTTTGCAACTTTTGGTGGAATGGAACTTTATGTAATGAAAGTGAGTCTAACAGAAGAGCTGCCATGAAAAGTGATCATCTGAAAAGATGCGACGACAGAAAATCGGGTGACTAATCTGAAGGAATAGAGCTCGATTACAGAAACATGATAAAACTCCTAATAAATTTTTTTCTCCTAACCGTACAGAATATTTTGCGGATTTAATTCTAGTGACAGATAGTGGCAAACAAGTCATTATGGTTGGTGTCATGCTATTTGTGTTGATCGTGATTTTTCATGGACTACAAATATTTTATCATATTCGTAAGAACCGAAAAAATCCATCGACAAAAAAAGAAAAGTTTGTCTCTTTTGTACACAAAGATTGATGTCTTCTAATTTTTTATAGTAGTTCCGACACTCATAATCTCAATCGAAAATTCTTCGATACCTCTAGTGTCGAACCGGTACTCGGTCGTTATATTGTTTCATCTATTATTGTAATTGCTACTGTTATGCTCGCTACAGCAACTCTCATTGTCAAATGGACTATTCTACAACCTATTCATAATGATATAGTTGATAAATTTAAGAAGAACGAGTCAATATTCTTTCAAAGACATACAATTTGTAAAGTGATGGATGTTCGAGCAGAATTCAATATCATTACTTTTCCTGCTGCCTGTTTATTAATTGTGATATTCTCTGTGATTACAAAACGAGTTTCATTTCAACGAGGCAAAATATGTAAAGGTTACATTGGTATTCCAATTCCACTTGATTTTTTCGTTCATGTCAAACGAACATTTTCTGCAGTGATATTCGCCGTCTTTGCAGATGAATTATTAGAGATTGCTAGTCAAATGTTTACATCAAGTAATTCATCGAAAAATGAAGGTATGCCATCATTCTCGATACACTATTATCCTCAAAAAGATATTTTTATTGATTAAGTCAATAAATATTCAATTGATAAACATGTTGCGATCTATGATAGGTTTTTTTTTCATTTTTCTCCAAAGTAAAAAAACAAAAAAACATACAAATAATATAAAAATCTGTTTTCTTCTTAGGCATTATTGTAACATATGTTCGTCAAATATTCAAAGTTCTTGTCATTGGTTTTCATCATTATCCAACTTTAGCTGCTGTTTACATGGATACACCGTTCAGTTTGATGTGTGCTTCTTTGTATACATGGTTAGATTTTAGCATCACTATTGTGGATACTGGTTTATGTCGTAATGAATTTTATCCAACTGACAAAACCTATAATCAAACAGGGGGCTCTCAAATTATCCGATCTTTGAAATATTATGGTACAGGATCGAAATTGTTATTCTTTCAACTTCTTATGGATATTCCTCGTTATTTGTTTTTGTCCTATATTACTGTTAAACTATTCTCATTACTTATCAAACGAATTCGATTTAGAAAGATCGACAATAAACGATTACCACGCGAACAATATAATCTTCTTTTTTCATCGTTGCCAAATTCAGTTGAATCACGTTATGTGAAAAATCTTCTGGGAATGAGAAATAGAAATAAATCAATGAATCGTTTTGCGAAACTATTTCGATTTATTTATGTATGGCGAGATGATTTTCGATTTTCATCACGTATTGTCTCGGTTTACGCAGCTATTTCATTGTTACTTTTCTTTATTACTGTACAAGTAAGTATTGCGATATTTATTTTTTCCATAAAGTGAATGTATTTTATTATATTCTAACAAATTTTATCACTAGGCATTGGTTCAAATTCCTCCGATACTGATTCCACTTCATCTACCTATCCAAATCACATTCAATGTTTTTGTCTTACTATTTTTACAGGATGATCCAAAATTACAATCTAACGAAGATAAATTATCAAATTTTCGTCTACCTCATTTGTATCGACCGTACGTTTTTGCTATTGTGTTCACTCTACTTGTGATCGTTATTCAATTGCTTTGTATGCTGGCATCCATTCGTCGAAATCTTCTACATGCCTTTGCTGGCGATCACTATGAGATTCCAGAGCCAAAAGTCTCAGAAAATGCTAATTATGTGACCGATAATTTTCGTTTTGCTGGTACTCTGATCGGTTATGTAATCTTAGAATATATCTTTTTGGCTTTCTTTTCTTTTATCATTGCCATTATGATTGGATCATTTCTCACATATGGAAGTTCACGATTCTTAGAGCATATACTAAAACTAATTATTCCTGTTTTACTCTTAATTTTTTTCAAGACGTATCTGAACAATATCTTGGGACAATATGTATTTTTACATCATAAACTTAATGTTTTGTCACTTAACAATCGACGTGTATTTATGATCTTCTTGTATTTCAATATTTTCCTTGATGCTTTTCTTGGTTTAATTACTGCATTCATTCGTTTACTCAGAAGTACTATTGGTGGAGTAATATACATGTGTCGACTTGATTATTCACCACTCGGTCGAAAACTAGAAACTACTGATTCAGGTTTTAGTGCCTATTGTGGATTTATTCATGTAGAATGTGCTCATCGTCATCCTATTCTATTGTGTTTTATCAGTCATCTTCTTCGAGATCATCTTTATAGAAAATCATCCAAACATTGGACGAAAGCACGACATAAATGGATATTGGCTGTTTTTCTTTTGAATAATCCAACAATAGTTATTCAACGAAAACAATATCTAAATCGGCCAAAACAAAGTGAGATGCAAGTTGATTCAATTGAAATAATAAATGAGACGTCACAATCGATCGTACATCACCAATCGGATGTAGATTTACAATTCGAATTGGATAAAACACTAGTGAAAGAACGATTCTAATACTTGATTTTATATAATTTTTATTGTGTTGTATTGTTTGAATTTCGAACAAAAAAATTTAATAACAAGTGACAATATGATTGTACTTGATTTCTATTATTTTCTTTTTATTAAAGTTTAAACGAAAAAAAGTTACCGAAAGAGGGCATAAATGTGGCTGTCAAGCTTAGTTGTGGATAGGGTGTGGGTCGGACCTATTTTTCGTCCACTCATCCACCAACACCCACACCTCATCTACTTTTCTGCGCAACTCCATCAACTGGTAGCAGAGATCACGATGAAAGAAACTCACGAAAATGAAATCATCTACCTTGTGTATTAGCAAAGCTTTATTAAGCAGTTTGTATAGAAAAGATAGTTTCGAATACCGCTAAAATGAAAGACCATTCCAGTAAGTCTTTTGAAATTCTTTGACTACAGCTATTTGAACCCTAATCAGATTATATTTTTGTTTGAAAATCACTATGAACTCGTCTCAAATATCAATACTTAGTGTCATTTTGAGAAAAGAGCTAAAATCTTAAACGAGATGAGTTTCTCAACTTTATCACGTCTCTTTTATTACGCCTTAATTGGAGAGACCAGACTATCAGGTCTTGTTAATACATTTATAAATTGTAGTCGAAATAGAGCAATAGGGAAAAATATAAGCTAGAATTTAACAGCAACTGTCATTTTTTTTCTCTTCGCTTGTCGGAAGACATGCCAAGCAATAGTCTTAATTGATTAACACCTTTTCACATTCGACAGTTGTCTATAGAGGGAATCCTGCGAGAACAAAAGAATTCCAAAAAGATATGGGATTTAAGCATGTGCTCTGCTGCAATTTGAAACTGAATTAAGCAATCTGTTCGGTGTTAGTACTTACGAGTGATAAAACCAATCAGATTACTTAATACAGTTTCAAATTTCAAGCGAAAGCAAGACTTGACTGTACAACAAACCTCTAAATCATCATTGCCAGATGAGTATCATAGAGATATCCACACTACGGTTAATACGAGTTTTGACAAACTCATTCTGATACAAATATGAGCTTGTGAGAAGCATTTTTATCTATAAATGCATTGATTCGATGAGTTGTGCATATTTGGATATTGGGCACTTTAAGTGACCGTCACGAAGGGCAATTAGCCTTTCATGAAGATGAAAGTTGTGAATAAAGTAATAAATCAGTTGAAAGAAGAGCATACTTTTTTATTTCATTCAAATTCATGATTAGATAATGGTCACATAACACATGCCATTATATCCTCATTAAGATGACGTGAATTTAATCTTTATGTGAAACATTTACATATTGTGCATCAACAAAAGCAATTGTGAGATAAAGCAAATGCCAAACCTAAGATAAACTCAACTTTGCTTGAAAGTAAAAATGTCGACAGTAAAAAAGTGTAGAAATTGTAAAATGTCCGAAAAAGCAGCAGAAAAATAAAAAAAGTAAAACTCTCAAAGATGTTGGATAGATATGTGAGTATGGCTGAGCAGAAGGCACACTCACAGCTTATTGACATGTGATCATCATAGAATAAATTCTCATATTCATCAAAATCATCTCAAATATATGGAAGTTTATTAATTTTACAAAAGCAAAAAGGAAAATATGTACAGAAATATTATACCGCAACGTTCTTCTGGTACATTGAAGCACAAAAGCAAATGAACAGCAGTATTAAAAAATCGAATAAACAGGTTATGCAATCGATAAGTTAATTACCTCATTATAGTATCTGATCTTCTCAACGGTCTGTCTTTTTATTGCAGCGATAAAAAGTTATGATTGTGCAATAAGAACATTATTTAACATAGGTAAACTAATTGATTGAATTTCATTCTTTCTTTTTCACTAATAAAAATTTAATTTGAATTCAGCTGCTTTGTTTTTTAATTTTCTAAACGAAAAAACATTCAGAAGTTCTTACTTCAGTTTTCGACATTTTTACTTTTGATACTTTTGCTTCGACATTTTTCTGTTGACATTTCTCGCTTTTGACATTTCCTTGCCGATATTTTTACGTTCAAACACAGTTGAGACAATCGAAACCTAACAATTGAAAGCAATGTTAATTTGAAGAAGGTTAAATAGAAGCATATACTCATTCATTCTTATACTACGCGTCAAGAACATAGTCGGAACGGAAAGGTAGCAGTCGAACATTACGCACATGTTATTCTAACGAGAAGACGTGCATATCCTAGGAGAAGTACTGAATCTAGGATGATCATGTAACGAAAAAGTTTCAGCAGAGTACGGGTAAGAACACTTTTTAATCGAATCATATTCCGTTACTGTGAGTCTCTTTGATTGTTGGGAAAGTATATACACATTTTGTCAAAACATTTGACCTATTCTTACATGTCGGCTTAGGATGCAGTAAAATTTATATTCTGTGCTGCAGAATTTCGAATCGATTTGGAACTTAAAAATCCTAATTCCATGGTCCTAAAATTCAAACTAATATGTCACAAGGGTGTGGGTGTGGGTGGGTATGGGGTGTGGGTGTGAGTGTGGATGGGCGTGGGCGTGGGTGTAGATTGACAGATGAGCCACACTCACATCCACCCCACACCCAACTTGGCATTTCATCTGTATTTAATAAATCTGTAATGTGAATTATTAATTCGATATATTCAAAGACTTCTTCTGTGATTAATAAAATTATTTTTGAAAGAAAGAAAACTGGAGTGTGGGTTCTTTCCTTCGGTCACACTCACCCATTCAGTTAATGCTCTGTCCATTGAAATTGGAGAAAAAAAAAGGAACGCGAAATAGAAAATGAAGGTTAATTAATTATTACGTCTTGTAATGAAAGGAAGAAAAATGGATTTTCAACCGTAATGAAATCTGCAGATTTTGATGTTCACGACACTTGTTTCTGTCTTCTTGAGCAAATGTCTGATACATTGACATCTTTTGTTTTTTATAAACCACAATAAAACCTGCTATCTCTGTTAATCTATAGAACTGAGAAAGTTTAACCTTGCTTGATATAGAATTCAACAATCAATAGCAATCAAAATGTCTGAATAAAATGATCGTACATGGTATATTTTATATATAGACTTATATATCTACTAAAGAAACAGTAAACTTCATGAGGTCTAATAAAATGTAATAAAATTTATTGATTCTCGATAACTTAATTTAACTTTATGTTATCTTAACTTCGGAATATCTACCTATTCTTGTTCTATTTTAAATGAATCATTATAAACTCACATTGACAAATCAATCATTTCGTTTCGTTTCGATAAAAGAGTTTATAATTGTTCTATGCATAAAATCCACATATTGAAAAAACCAAAGAATATTTATTTTATTTTGTTATACCTTACTATTGAATATAGGTCAACGTATCATGCAATAGATTTTTTCTCACTTTCCAAGGATAATTTATTATTGTTTATCTTTCATATGCTTTTCAGCAACTCAATATATTTTAGTTCTTCTTAAACAATTATAATCATTTGATTGAAGTCTTATAATTAAGTAAATTAATTGGAAAATATGAATAACTTTCATATAGTTAAGTATGATCCGAGAATTTTTTTTCGTTGATTATCTATAGCTTGACGAATGGATCATGAATATATGATTTTTATTTCAATTTGACTATTGTTTAGCATTCGAATAACTGAGACATTAGCATTGATGCGTATAAATTGATTTTTTTTGAGTTATACTTAATAAATTAATAGAGTTGAAGAAATTTTGTCGGGTATCGATAGCCTCAACAAGCTTTCAAATATAAGATGATAAGTTCCTTTCCGTTAAAAAAAAACAAATATTTTTTTCTAAAATGCATCTGAATAAATGTTGTTTTTCTTGCGTTGATTCTGAATATGGTCTTTGTGTTTGCTTTGACGCTGAATCATGATAATGAAAATTGCTAATTACTATCGAATTTTTAGTGCATCTGTTTTTTTGTCATTATAAAAACGAAAGCATCAATTTTTTTTTAAATAATCAAAACAAAAATCTAAAAATACTAAATAGGTATTTTCTTTTCAAGTTTACTATTAGACAACAAAATTTTCTCAATTCTATAATAATTTATCAAATATTACTTAATTTGTACGCATCAAGGCTAATGTCTCAGTCATTCGATTTTTTTTTCTCTCTTGAATAAGTAACGAAGGAGTGGTCGTTGCTTCATTCAAGAATGTTTTCCCAACAACAACAACAAGTTTACACCATTTCGAATGAGCCTCCGAATGTGATTTTTGCTGATAACCGCCCCTTCTCCCTCTACCCTTGAAAAATATTTGATCCGTCATCGATCTAAACAATAGTTAATTTAAAATAAAAAAGTACATATTCATGACTAGTTCGGCAAGCTCTATCAAATCATATCTGAAAGAAATGAAAAAGAAAAACCTTCACCCGAATCCTACGTACATTGCGCGCATTTTATAATGTTGTTTCATAGGAATCAATGATTTATTTTATATTCAATTTATTTTACAAATGTTTACTCTCGATATTAGGTACATATCAAATTTTTTATCATTTCGAAATCGCTTTCATATGACGCATATTCATTACTTAAATAAATTTACTTTTCAAAGATAAATGACTTGTTTTTGAAATTATATCAATATTAACCATCATTCATTCTTAGTATCATGTTTTTAATTTATTCATTTGTCATTAATCAAATTCGAAGATACAAAAACATATTTCTATTTTAATTAGAGTAATGATTTTAATGAATGTAGAATGTAATTTTTTTACAATCTAAAGATTGAATTCAAGAAGAAACTATTATTATTAGAACGTTTTGTTAATCGAGCATCTTTAGTTTTTTTTGTGTTCAAATATAAAGGCAAAAGGACAAGAGTCATATTGGAAGTGCTATGATTAATGTTTTCAATATACGATGTCGCATCAATAAGATAAATAAGTTCATGAATCATTATTGTATCAGTTTTTTCCTCTTTTGACAAGTATCTAGCAGCTGTTATTATTTATTAAAGATTGAATCACCTTGAATGTG